GGCTCTCCAATCACATCAAATAAGGTAGGTGGAGACATAGGCAATTCATTGACACCTCCAAATGATTGATCAATCCTGCAAAAAATGACAAGTCAGGGTGCATGCATTGACAAGTTGGTAGCAATACAGTAACAACTGACATACTAAGAAATCACAATAACAGTTTTGGTAAACTATACTTACACATCTTGCTCCTCCATTGTATTATCCTTTGTTGCTTCTATGTGGTCCTCATTTTCATTTTCTTCGACATACACATGACCACTTTCTTCATTGAACTTTATTAAATGTTCCACCCCATCATCATCTACCAACTCCACAAAAGTTTTTTTTATCAAACACAACTGAGAATTTCAGAAGAAATGATTTGCTTTCTTTTCCAGCAATTGATGATATAATTTCCTTCAATTCTTCATAACTTGTGCCCTCCTTTACATTGGTTGTTCTTACACTACCTCCCACATATCTCATATCATCTTCTCCATCATTTATAAACTTTCCCCCTATGTGAACAAAGAAAAATAGATGTTTTCCAGATGTACTTGTCATCAGTAACTTAAACCTGCATCAAGAAGCACGCAACTGTCATTGACAACTTAAGGAGCTATATTGACAAGTTTAGCAGCACACATTGACAACAATCGCAGCCTGATTGACAACATAGTCCCATTTCGTGCTAAGGGTTTCTACCCTCACTAACCTTCATCTTTTTCTTCCTTTGCCACTAAAGTAACGTCAGAACAGAGGAAAACCACCCAAAAACAATCCAAAAACAGAGCACCCATTATCATTCTACACACCCAACTTAAATCACAACACACGCCAACCAAAAACACAGCTTTTCCATTCATTAACTTCTGAATCCTAAACCAAAAACAAAAGCTTTGAAATACCATCAGTAACTTAAACCTGCATCAACCAGGACGCAACTGTCATTGACAACTTAAGGAGCTACATTGACAAGTGTGGCAGCACACATTGACAACAATCGCGGCCTGATTGACAACACAGTCCTATTTCGTGCTAAGGGTTTCTACCCTCACTAACCTTCATCTTTTTCTTCCTTTGCCACTAAAGTAACGTCAGAACAGAGGAAAACCACCCAAAAACAATCCAAAAATAGAGCACCCATTATCATTCTACACACCCAACTTAAATCACAACACACGCCAACCAAAAACACAGCTTTTCCATTCATTAACTTCTGAATCCTAAACCAAAAACAAAAGCTTTGAAATACCATCAGTAACTTAAACCTGCATCAACTATCATTGACAACTTAAGGAGCAACATTGACAAGTGTAGCAGCACACATTGACAACAATCACGGCCTGATTGGCAACATAGTCCCATTTCGTGCTAAAGGTTTCTACCCTCACTAACCTTCATCTTTTTCTTCCTTTGCCACTAAAGTAACGTCAGAACAGAGGAAAACCACCCAAAAACAATCCAAAAACAGAGCACCCATTATCATTCTACACACCCAACTTAAATCACAACACACACCAACGAAAAACACAGCTTTTCCATTCATTAACTTCTGAATCCTAAACCAAAAACAAAGCTTTGAAATACCATCAGTAACTTAAACCTGCATCAACCAGCACGCAACTGTCATTGACAACTTAAAGAGCTACATTGACAAGTGTGGCAACACACATTGACAACAATCGCGGCCTGATTGACAACACAATCCCATTTTGTGCTAAGGGTTTCCACCCTCACTAACCTTCATCTTTTTCTTCCTTTGCCATTAAAGTAACGTCAGAACAGAGGAAATCCACCTTAAAACAATCCAAAAATAGAGCACCCATTATCATTCTACACACCCAACTTAAATCACAACACACGCCAACCAAAAACACAGCTTTTCCATTCATTAACTTCTGAATCCTAAACCAAAAACAAAAGCTTTGAAATACCATCAGTAACTTAAACCTGCATCAACCAACACGCAACTGTCATTGACAACCTAAGGAGCAACATTGACAAGTGTAGCAGCACACATTGACAACAATCACAGCCTGATTGACAACACAGTCCCATTTCGTGCTAAGGGTTTCTACCCTCACTAACCTTCATCTTTTTCTTCCTTTGCCACTAAAGTAACATCAGAATAGAGGAAAACCACCCAAAAACAGAGCACCCATTATCATTCTACACACCCAACTTAAATCACAACGCACACCAACCAAAAACACAGATTTTCCATTCATTAACTTCTGAATCCTAAACCAAAAACAAAAGGCAAAAACGATTTTTTGATTTCTCATTCCCAAACAAATCCAGAATCTGTCAAGAAAGGTAGGAGAGGAGAGAAAAGAAAGTTTCACACCTTAAGATTTGTGAAGATTCACATGGAAGCACTTTGGAGTTCAATAATGGTAATGGAGAAGATTTTTCATCATCAATGGCTCCTTCTCTCTTTCTCAATCTCTTCTCCCTCAAGCTTCTTGCGCGGGAAATCCTCAAAGTTCATTCTCCCGTCTTTTTTTTTCTGATGGCAGGGGCAGGGCAAAACGGTAATTAGTGGATTCTGAAAATTGTATCTAAGTCCCTTTGGGACTTCAAAAAAATTATCAAATTTCATGGGACCTATTTGATGTATTTTGTTCTCCATGGGACCTCAATGTCATTTTCCCTATAAGAAACCACATTACATGCACTTCGCGACTGTGATAATGCACAGCCGATGATTGTCCCATAGAAATGGATGAATAAATTTTTCCATAACACAAGTGTTAGTGACTGGATCAGATGGAACATCTATATTGCTGACCCTGTTGATAATTTTGAATGGAAGCAGTGGTTCGCAGTTATCTACCGAAATATTTGGCTCGCTAAGAACCGCAAAATCTTCAATGAGGCTTCTTTGGATCCTTTGGATGCTTTAGCACGAGCCAGAGCTTGCCTATCCTGGAGCAAGCCGACCTTCCCCCCCCCCAATAATCGGAAGGTGTGCTGCAATGGACCCCTCCACAAGAGGGTGGCATCAAATTTAATGTGGTCGGTTCATTTGGCGGACAAAGGAATATCAGAGGCGGCTGTGGCGATATCGCTAGGAACCAAAGAGGTGAAGTGGTCTGTGGATTCCTCCACCGTATAACAGAAGGATCTGATCTCACTGCTGAGATGTTGGAGGTTCTTTGGGCCTTGAAAGTAGCTTGGGAGCAGGGGTTTAGAAACGTTGAAGTGGAATGTGATTGCACTGAGGTGATCAATGCATCCCTAGCTGGTGTAGACGAAGATCACCCTGAATTGACTGTTGTAACTGAGATTCAGAGCATGTTAGACCGTGATTGGGGCTGGGCAGTGGAAATTAATTCGTGTCATAACTGCATTTTTTTCGGAGTAACCTGAATGGTTGCGGCGCTCGTTCAACGATAAGCAAGTTTCTAGGTCTCACAAGTTAGTTCAGGCTCTAGGTAGCTAGTTATGATGCTTTGTAATATCACAAAATAAATAAATAAATAAGAAGCTTACCTCCGAAATGTCATCAAAAAGACACCACGAAATCAAAAGGCCCAAATATTTTATTCTCAAATTCTTTCAATCTGGACAAGGTATTGATGTTTTGAAGTGATTTTTCGATTCTCTCATATAATCCAGAGCTGATAAAATAAGATGGGCCCAGGGACAACTAACAGAATTTTAAAATACTACATCCGGTACTTAATATAAAACCTCTTTTGACTTAAATATAAAATCCTAATCAATTTTGTCTCTCACGTTTACTCAATTTTTTTCAAGATAGTCCTTCTAATAATTATAGTTTTAACTAATACACTTAATTAGTAAGGATATTTTAGGAAAGACAATACCTATTTATTACAAATAACTAACTTAACTTCTTTCCTTAATTTTCTCAAATTAGTCAACTAGCTTTTATAATTAGAACTGGAGGTAGTATTTCTTGTTTTTTTTTTTATGCTAGACCCCGAACTCAGGCCCTTTTAGTTTACCCAAAAACAAAAACTTGGCTGTAAAGCACAACGACTCGACAAATTCAAAAGATCCATTCTCTTCTGTACTTTATCACCCAAAATACACGTCTTAGATATGCATTCGCATAGCCGGTTAAAAAAAAAAAAGATATGCATTCGTATAACTTCGTCAAATAAGCATTTTTGCTACAATAAGTTGCAAATAGGCATTGGGATATACTCCTCTATTTCTAAATATAAAACCCATTTTATAGTGTAATTTATATTAAAAATAAGTCTTATATTTAAAACCGAATGAATATATTAGCAATATAAATCAGAGTACTTCGATTAAATAAGCCTTAATCCTACCCAGTTTCGTTTTTCTAAATCAAGTGCAGGTTACCAGGTTTATTATTCAACCCCGGAATAAGTTAATAATTAAATATGTTGTTAAATAATTTTACAATTAGATAAAAATTCAATATATTTTCAGGTTCTGCACGAGCTGCAGTTATAGGCCTCTAATCGGCTTTTCAGGTGGCTTTAAAATAAAGAGGGAAAACAAGTGAGGTGCTTTTACCTCAAAGATTAAATGACAATTTGATACCTTATCACCAAATTTGTCATTTCACTTATTGTCCTTTTAAAATTCAACAAGTATTTTATTGACATTTTTTCAAACATTGTAAATACTTATGGGGTTAAAATACATCCAACACCCTAAATTATTTTCCTAGACACGTTTAATATCCTAAAATATTTTGATACATCCAACACCTTAAAACATTATTTTAAATACGCCTAGTACCTTGAACTATTTTTTGATGCATTCAGCTAGATGCGTCTAACATCTAAATATTTTTTGACACATCCACGACTAAGATAAAAAAAAATACAAAAAAAATACCTCAGGGTGATAGACCCACCTAAAAAATAATTCAAAGTGCTAAATACACCACAAAATACTTCAAAACGTAAAATGCACCATAAAATACATGACACTAAACGTACTTAAAAAAATACTTTAAGGCTGAATAAACCCATACTCGTATTCTTTAAGTTTGAAAAATCACCTTACCGTCAATGAACATCAAAGGCTATAACCTGTTTTGTTATAATGCAATTATGACGATATTTTAAGTTTTGAACTCATTACATATATGAACCAATAACTCATCCTAATACTACACTCACCCGCGGGGCTTCTTACATTTTTGCCCAAAAATCCAAAAAGACTTCGTACATAATTTTACAGCTCAAACTAACTTATAATAATCATTGCCATTTTTTGTGAATCAATTTACCTTATTGAAAATAATCCACAAGTAATGTTAGTGATGTACTCATACTTTGTAAATTTGCAAGGGAAATGATAGCAGTAACTGATAAAGTAATCCTCACCCATCATATACCTAAATCATCACATGGTTGTAAATAAAATAAAAAATCAATCATATTACAAATTATAAATAGATGCAACGAAACAGCTGTGAACTTTTTTTTTTTTTTTTAAATGCGAATCCGTTACATGCCATTAAAAACAGACCTCAAAGCGAAAACTGACATTACAAAGGAATCAACCGGAAATATTAGAACATATTGGATGCAGATTCCCTGATCATTGTTTAATGAAATTTCTGGTAGTATCTCATGACACACTAAAAAAAAAAAAAATGCCAACTACCACCAAAACCCCATTCTCGATGCAAAACACAGCAGCTAGAAACTCAACCAAAATAATACTTTCAGGGACCTATAAAGAAACCTCCATCTGCAAAGATCCTACAAATATTTTACAATGAAGATTATGACCTCAATATGGGAAATGGATCCTTACTTTATCATATAAATAGGCCCTAAAATAGGGGTCAAATAAAACACCCCCACCCCACATCTCATCAACTTAAGCGGGTTAAATTCTTTTCAAACTTTCGGAATTCAAATCCTTGCAATAATAGTTTTCCCAAGAATCAAGAAAAGCAAATTCCCTGCCAGTAAATGCCCCCGTTATTCATTCTACATTAGTCGTTACTATTACCAATTTAAGAGTATCAGTAGGCAAACTACAGTGTTGGGAGCTGAAAAGGAATGCCAAATGCCAAACAAAATATAATGCAAAAACATTAATTCTGACAGCTCGCAAGACATAACATTCCGTGCTAAGGTTACATTTTGACAGGTCGAACTATTGACTGCCTCTCTTATTTCAACCTAGCCCAAGTTAACCAGGACTTCTCTGAATAATACAAAAATGCTAATATCTACCAAGGGAAAAAATGAAAAAATAATAATTCAAACTATTTCTAGAACACTAGATTATAAGCCAAAAACAAAAAGGTTAAAAAAGGAAAAAACAAAACAAACCTTTACAGAACGAGGTTATCACCTCCTTTGCCTTGCATGATCTTTTGCGGTGCCAGTGCGAACATGTTCCAAGTGTCCAGCATTGAAAGGCAATCACAAAATATAACACAATCTCAACCGTGTTCATTGCCCTGATACTCTAAATTGGCCACAGAAGCAAGCTATCCCAACAAATCCATAAGGGGTGGCTCCTCAGACTTGGGATGAGCGGACCTCATGCTTGAACCAGCTCCCCTCCCTCTTCCTCTTCCTCTTCCTCTACCTCTGCCCACGGCAGTTGAGGGCGGTGGTGCAAGCTTAGGTGCAATCAGGTCATTCTGATCAGAAGCAAAGATGGATCCAAGATCTGTGGACTTGTTCTCTGTCTGTGGAACATTGGATGCTGGAAATCCCTGACTCTGCTTTAAGTACGCAAGAGAGTTCTGCGATTTTATACCACCATGCAGACTACCAGTGGTTGAACTGGAATTACCAAGGCTCAAACCAATTGGATCTTCTGAACTTGGGGTTTTAAAAGACCAACTATTGGTAGTTTGATTATTCCTAGCGTTTGAAGCGTTTGACATTAAACTAGGTCCATTTTTGTCTAGTGGAGGTCCTGAAGCACCATTGTTGGAACTTCCAGGTCCACCTAGTGAGCTGCTAGGACGTGGAGGCCAATTAGCGAAAGGATCAATGTCATCAAGAGTAGACGTAGAAGACGTTCCTGTTGTCTTCATGTGACTCTCAGAATCACCTAAATATTGGTTACCAGCAGCAGAAGCACGAGGAGGCCACTCTATATCGACTGAGGGGCATGAAATTGTAGCCTGCTGATTAGACACAGCAGATGAGGATGAATGTTGCTGTGAGGATGTTATTTGACCCATTGGGATTCCTGGCACAGGTTGACTTGATTTGTCAGTAAAACTTTGGGAAGAAGTGGTGCTCCCTTTCATAGTGCCACCCCAATCTTCATCCCAAGAAGAGCTGCTCTTGGTTGAAGCAACAGTGCTGTTTGTTTTAGCAGTGGCTTCATTGTGAAGACCATTAATTGGAGGAAATGGTTTGGTGACCTCAGGGATTCCAGACTGTGTCACAACCACTCCTCGCTTCTCCTCTATCATCCTGTACCAAAAACAGAAGTTATGAAAAGAAATTCAAAGAACACCTTAACTTACAAATGAAGCCAATTAATGGGAAAATCTGACAGGTGTTTTGTTTAGAAAAAAATGAAATAAAATAATATAAACCTTAGCATATCCTTCACAAAGAGCATATATTTGGCAAACTGCTGAACATTCAGTTGTTGAGTTGTCAGGAGGGGTATAACCAAAGGAAGCACATGCTCAGCAACAAACTCTACTCCATACTGGAAGGAGGAAAATCAAACAAAACAAAGCTGAAACTCCATAAATCTTTGGATGAAGCCGTCAATAAATTAAAATTACTTCAGTTATCAGGCCCATCATTGAAACTATTACCCGCTTATAAATAGCATTTGCAACCCCAAGTGTACACATAAGGGTAGGAGGAGAACGGTCAACAGCAGTACAGCGCTGAATAGTCTGCAAGATGTCTAGGACAGCAGGTTTATCAAGTCGGATAACCATGTCTCCTAAGCACAGCAAGGCATTGACTCTAACCTGTCAAGCGCAAAAATATAGCCTTAATATATTGAAATATTGGAATAGAGTTAAACAAGCAGCAAAACACCTATATAATGTCAGCTGGGATAACTCCAAAGTCATGCAATACATGTGAGTCCATACTCATTACACGGGGGGAAAATGGCAACGTATCAAGTACTTTTAAGAGACATTGAAAAATAAATTAAGATGATCAAGTCTCGACGAAAAATATAAGTACTTCAAATTACAAAGATTAAATAGATACTATTTCTTTAAAAAAATGTCCAGGAATGACCCCAAATATTTGCCAATCAGAAGAAGAAAATAAGAAGTGAAGTTGCAGGTGTGCGAGAAGAGAGCCAAGGTTGGTATTTGGTAGAAGTCCCACATTGCTAACATTGATGCATTGGGTGGAGAGCATTTGATATAAAAAGGAGGGAAACTTCTGTCAGTTAAAAAAGTTATGAGAAGCTCTGGCCCTCATGCATTAGTCCAGAAGCATTGTTTTTTCCTCTCTTTTTTTTTTCCCCCCTAGATTGTTCATGGTGGTCCAGTTTTTTGAGTAGAACCAGTCCGATTTTGACAAGTTTGGCTGGTTGTCCATCAGCTGAGCAGGTCTATGATTGGTTTTCTCTAAGGCCTGTTTGGGAGATCTTCCCAAACTGGACCAAGAGCTGGTTCCCAGTTTCAACCAGTTGAACCGGCCAGCCCCGTCCTGTCTTTCAATCCTTGCAAAATAGTGAGCAGATAACATTAAAATCTTCAAGACAACCATAAACGCAACATCTATTTTCTAAGCTGATGCAGAACCAAGCTGCAAGTTTCAGCATTGTACTTTTCATTTTCCACAGGTTTAGGAATATTAAGAAAAGTAAGTAAAAAAAAATCAAAATGTACATTGGCATGTGTCATTTAAGGATATAACTTGGTTATTATGTATGTATGAACTAAGGAGCCTAAACAATTAAGCGCTAAACCATGAACATGGGGCAAAACCAAAACCAACTCAGAAAGGAATGCATATTAGCGTGATAAAATGATAAAAGTCAAAACAAAATAGAACATACCGCAGCAATTGTCGTTTTAAGCGCTAAACCATGAACACGAGGCAAAACCACTTGTTTGACCAGCTGAATGAATGAAAATATGATAATGATTACTACTTTGATCCTGAAATATCATTATATCATAAATAACAAAATTTATTGCAAGATACACTAGGTATAAGTCATGAACAGTATAGCTCATTCATTAAATTTCATGCCATGTACTGCAAATTATATAATCCAAAATAACCTCTGGTTGAAAAACTAATCCAAAATAACCAAAAAAATGCATCACTCATAGTCATCAGAATATAGCCATCACCTGGGTATCAAGTTGCTTAGCAAGGGATACAGATTTCTTCAGAACCTCTTCTTGAACACGAGCATCATTCTCATCGAAAGCCCGAACAACCATTGGCAGAACATGTGAAACTAAATGATCCTGACTAGTCTAAATAAAGAAAGAATGACCTTATTACTGTTGGTTTATAAATATCATTGACAGTTTCAACGGTAATGCTGAACAATAAAAGAGAAGTTTTTAAGCTTCAAGAAAACTGACTCTCGATGTAAAAAATCTTTAAACGTCATAATAAATGAACTGAATAATAACTAAATTACCTTGTTTATTAAAAGCTCTGCATGCTTCACAAGCAGCAACAATGTCTCACCAGCTGCAGCACTCAAGACAGGAACAAGTGCTGGAAGAGTTGTAATCTCAAAATCACTTTTATCCTGTAAAACATCATAACAAATGAATTCATTATAGTCCCAAATCATATTTACCTTTAACCATACTCTCATTATCACACAAACCAAAACAAAAGTTTCACCATCCCCTGCTATAGCATTAACTCTTGATAATAACCGGTTCTACAGAGACCAGAATTTTCATTTCTTTAGAGCATTATAAAAAGTAAAACAAGGTATATTGATCATGATCCTTTTTTCTTTTCTTTGGGGGTTGGAGCACACAAGGAAGGCTTGTTAGAGTCAGATTCCTTAAGATAGACAAATAGTATACATAAATCAGACACAATAATTATTAAGCCTCTACCAATAAAATTAAGGAAGAAAAGATACAATACTATATGAACATATAAAAAAGGAAAATACAAATAATGCGCTCTCAAGTAATGAACAAATTTCCACTTGCATAGCACATCTGGCAGAAAAACTTCTGTGCATAGATGGAAGGGTTTCGAGCTTATGAGGAAATTGACATTTTCAAGGAAGTGACAAGTTGAAGCCAACATTTTTCAAGATTAAAAGGCTAAAGGCAGAGAGGCAGTTGCTATAGCAACTGAATCAAAACTCAAAGGCAAAACCATTTTTTCCTAAAAAAAATGAAGACCGTAACAAAACCATTTTTTCCTTGAGAAAATGAAGACCGTAAAACTTGTATTGAATATTGATGCCAATTTCATCATAAAAATTTAAATGACGAGAGAGAGAGAGAGATTTCAATTTGAAGAGAAGACAAGAAATCATCAGAATGAGTAGCATCTGCCTCTCTCCCTCTCACCCAACAGTCATCAGAACAATCTAACCTCATTAAAGTCAAACCGCATGCAGAGGTTTCAAGGTAAAAGAGGAGATAACAAACAATTTTAGGAACTCTATCAATGTGAAGTGAGTGTGCATATGAAAGAAAGGGATGACGAGATAGCAGCACCTGAGACTCCGCAATAGTTAGAACCATAGGAAGAATCATTGGCTGCATCACCACATTCCTAAGCTCAGCACAGAGAGGCGGAAGGACCTGAAGAAAAGTTATGTTTGTAAGTTATGTACAGCATAGCATATAAAGAATAATTCCAAATTAAGATTTCGGAGCATAGAAACATCATCAGCAAAACTCATGATATGAGATAGGAACAAGAGAAGCAACTCAGGCTATGCAAAAGAAAAAGAACGAAAAATAAGAGTAATTTGACATGCACAAACCTTATTTTTCCACTCAATATCAAATTCATATTCATAAAAGTGATTAGATATGTTGTATTTTGAAGTCCCATCCATGAATACAAAGTAATTGACAGAGAAAATTAATTTTATTAAGTACTGGAAAAAGAATATCAAATAAATTGATTTGTATAAGCATATAAATCAACATAGCCTTATAGCAAACCTTGTACCGCAATACACGGCTGTCAAAATCTTTCCACATGTCTGACAAAGCTTTTAAGAATTCTGTCTTCTGCATGTTATCTCTTTCCTGCAAAAACAGAAGACACACCATCAAGAACTTCAACTTTTCCAATGCTTTTTGTTTGTCTTAGACTCTTAACCAAATTCTGTTGCTAGTGGTATTGTTGCACAAAGCAAGTGTTAACAATGAAAATGCACACTCTTACAAGCATATGGTCAAGGAAGCGCAGAGCACGCAACCTAGTGTCATTCCGAAAAAAGGGGGACCCTGCAAAAATGAAGGAAAATACATTGCCACAGATTTTTAATAACACATTACGAACGAGGAAATTTGGCAATTGGGACAGAGCAGATGGTATAAATTTATTTTAATCTTCTACATTCATTTACATAGATGATCATAATTTAGCATTCCGCTTTGAGCTCCTTATATCAATGGCCTCCAGAAAACAACAGCAACACTATATTATATGTGGTTAATCATTTAACTTCAGCCTCCCATACATATTAATGGGATTCTTACCAGTTGTAGGTATAACTTTAAAACTAAGTGAAATCTTCTGGTATTTTTGCACCACATTTTAGAAAATCAAACTAAAGCTACAATGACATTTTTAAACCGTCTGTTTACGTATCAATAAGCTTTCAATGAATTTGAGATTTAAGGAGTTTTATCATTGGTAATTGATTTTATGGCCTCACAGAACTATTTGATACAAATGCTGCAGTTGCAGTTGTCAGGTAAGAACATCAATCATCTGAAAAATGTTAATTTAAGATGTTAGCCAGCATTTTCCCTGTCAAGCTAATGTTTTAACCAGCTTCTTGATGTACAAAAGGAGTAAACAAATCACCTATACTGCAATGTTCTTTAGTTTAATATCTTCCATTATTTCCTTGTTAGTCGATATTATGATTACGACCTACATGCCTGCTTTTTGCAGGAGCCTTAAATTGAACAATCAAGATTGGCTGCCCACTATTTTGAAATAACTAAGCCTGGTGAGTCCAATGCTGAAGTGGGCCAAGTTTACACTAGACGAACCGCTGAGGAGCCAGCTGCAGGCAAATGGGGGTAAAGTTTATGAAAGGATGAGTGCTACAGGAACCACTTCAGAAGTGGCACTAAAGGCAGAAAAGAGACCCAGGCAAAGGCAACTAACTTTTGTCTGTTTCCTTAAAGTGATAGAATGAGGGGGCAGTGAAACTTTAGGGAGCAGTAGCAGCGGTAGACAGATTATGTGAGGTTTTGGCCCTTTCGTTGCCAGAGAGGGGATCCAGACCCCTTGACTGTCAGGAGGAGTCTTGTTTTGAATTCTCTACATTTTTCCTTTCCTTTTTCAGTGTGTGATCTCAGCTATAATAGAAGGGAGTGATTTTGTAATCTGTTTCCCTCTTCAAACTCCTCTCCCAATATCAATTAGCATGTTCCATGTTATCAGACTATTTAATAAAATAACAAACGAATCTCAAGCAATCTTTATTTTCTTTTTGCTGTTCGTGATTGATCCCATTTTGATTTATCAATCATCAATCAGGGAATGGATACAGAATGAGATTTTAACATCCAAAAAGCAAACTTTACCAGTAAAAGCCGTTGCAGTTGGTCTTGAAGACTCGTTTGAAGATAGCATCCTCTGCAAGTCAGGAACCAACTCCGGTGGAATAGATGAGAATGTGTCACTGGATAAGTAAGTCAGAGTATTCATGTACTGCATAAGTAAAATTCCAGGATTTCTCATTACTCACAAGTGGTTAAGAAGAAACAAAAGATATTGTCACCAAAAAAATTAAAAAAAAAAAAAAAAACAGATGTTGTATTCATGAATGGGCAAAATTTTAATCTATTATGGGATTTTTATCGTAATCTATAATTGTATTCAATATTTGTAAGCATCTCCAATTCATTTTACACAATGTCCTTGAGTTGCACGTTTAGTGCCGTCAGCATATTTTCTTTTCATTTGACACAAAAAAGGAGGTCAAGCTATCCACATGAAAATACGTGACAAAGATCCTAAGAGGTTTAAATAACCACTAACATGTTCAACCCTCTGCATATTGGATAGGAAAGGCTATCTAAAAAGGCTGCTGGGAGAACATAAAAGGAGCCCATGGACTCATCTTGTAACACACCCAAGGGCAGAGAAATTCCCTTGAAATTATAAGCACTTCACTAAAGTCGTATATACCAGAAAACAGCATAAACAGCACAGTATCAAAGTTTGGGTGTCTTTTTTCATTTTGAATCATTTAAAACCTATCATGAGAAGCTTCTCTCAAGTAGAAGGACACACCCAGTATTCACCAAACAATCCAAAGAGATCATTCCATAAGTTGTGACCTGACAATGCAAAAACAAGAAGGCAACTAACCCATCCTTCCACATGTAACATTTTAGAGGAAAATGTTGTCTAAGATCAGAGCCGTGACGTGTCAATGATATTATTCCTTTTAAATATTACTTTCCAAACAAAAAGATATGACTTCAGAAAAAGGTTTCATGTTTCAAAAGGGCGTTGGTAAAGAAAGAGGATAAAAATAAATAACTATAAAAAGTATTAATTATCTTGAAGTTTGGACTTGTAAGAAATATAACCGCCATGAAATAGACTTTCCAGAGTCGTCAATTGATGGGAACCCAAGGGGTATGGGATGCTGCTTAAGTACCACATTGACATGTGGCAAAGTAGGGTGATCAAAGTGGCGCTCTCCCCTAAAAAGCTAGCTTTCAAAACAAAGGGAAAAAAGAAACAGAAGTTACACAACATGCATGGGTGCCTATCAACATCAGTATGGACAAGGAAGAATTGCTAGAAGTAAGGTTTTCTTTCTCTTTTTCCTTATCTAAAATGTAAAGCAGTTAACTCTATTTTCTTCTCTACTTTTTTCCCGAGAGCTTATGTTGGAAGACAAAGCCCAGGCCCAATAAGCTGTGTTTTATTTATTTCGGTCTGTTTTATTTATTTCAGCCTTTGTATTTTTAAGTTTATTAATCTGATTAGGATTACTAGCCTAATTAGAATAGAGCCTTTTTGGTTTTATCGATTATCCTAGATTTACCCTAGATTACCTTAGCTGGTTATATATTGTACCTCATTACTTCAGAAATATTGAAAAAAGCAGGTTCATTCTCGCCCTATTTACTCATGGTATTAGAGCGGGTAACTGCGACTAAGACCATCCAACTTGGTCCCACGAAGGGCGAGTAAAAACAGCAGTCTTGTTCGTGACTAAGACCAGACAAATTAGTCGCACAAAGCCACATCCCCGGTCACACAAAGCTAGCAGCAATTCGGTCCACAAAACCACGTCTCAGGCCAAACTAAGCTAGCATCCAGCAATTCAGTCGCAGATAGCAACTAAGACTGAACGTGGTCACACAAAGCAAACATCAATAATCCAGCAACTGGGTCGCATCGGAGATAACGAATAACTGGTCGCACAAAGGCACGACCATTATTGTGCAATCCGAGGAACGAGTAGTTGCCAGATGGAGTCTGAGTTTCCGCCTCTGTTTGGCACAATGAGGCATCCTTCATCAGCATTTACAACAAATACAGCAGCGCCTTCCTCTTCTTCTGCATCTGGTTCTTCTTCTTCCTCAATGTCTATAGAACTAGAATGGCCACCGAGACCCAAAAGATGTTGACTGCCCATAAGTTGAATGGAAGTAATTACTTACAATGGTCTCCAAGTGTCCTTATGTAACCTACAAGGCTGAAGAAAAGAAAAATATATAACTGGGGAGGCTCCACAACCAAGCCCGAAAGACTCAGAGTATGATACTTGGTTTGCCGAAACAATCTAGTGATGACCTGGTTATGTAATTCCACGACAGTAGACATCAGTGAAGGTTATTTACTTGCTAAGACAGCAAAAGAGATATGGGATGCTGCAAAAAGAACATACTCTGCTATGGAGAACACTGCTACTTTGTTTCAAATAAAACAATTACAAAGAGAGATGAAACAAGGAAGCATGACGGTGACACAATATTATACTTCTCTCACACGTTTGTGGCAGCAGTTGGACATGTTTGATGTCCATGAATGGAAGTGTAGCAGTGATGCCCAAGTATATAGGGAGCTGGTCAAAAAAGAAAGAACCTCTAAGTTCTTACTCGGTCTCATTAACATGTTTGATGACGTGAGAGGAAGAATTATGGGAATGAAGCCGATGCCATCATTATTTGAAACTTTCAACATGGTCAGATGTGAAGAAAGCAGAAAACAACTTACCCTAAGTGTATCTGCACCCTCTGAGAGTTTAGCATTGACAGTACAGGGCAACAATGGACCAAAACAAAGAGGAAAGAAGAATCCCAAATGATGGTGTGATCATTGCAACAAAAATGGTCATACTAGGGACATATGCTGGAAATTACATGGCAAGCTAGCAAATCTGAAACAAAAACAAAGACCGGAGAGCAGGGGATACGTTGCTGTGACTAACGAGAATGAGGAGAATGGAGAAACTCTTGGCCGAAAAGAACTGCAAGTACTCAAACGAATTCTTGAGAAGCATAACAACTCAACCTCTACCCCTAAAGCAAATCTGGTAAAGTCAGGTAATTCCATTATAACCCTAAATGTCATGGTAATCAGTGATAATAGTTGGATTGTTGACTCTGGAGCTACAGACCATATGACAGGTAACAAAGCTTTGTTCAGAATTCTAAAGTATTGTCATGAGGAGAACATTAAAGTGAAAGTTGCTAATGGAATTTTTTCCAAAGTTTGTGGTGTTGGAATTGTTGAAATCTCAGAAAACCTAGAATTACAGAATGTTCTATTTGTCCTAGCACTCGCATGTAATTTGCTATCAATGAGTAAAATAACTAGAAATCATCACTGCCGAGTGTCTTTTGATGATACAGTTTGTGTTTTTTAGGATTTGACAACAAGGAGGAGGATTGGTATTGCTAAAGAATGGGATGGACTCTATTATCTTGAAGGCTCTAGGATCACCAATAAACAAGTGGGCAAGGCGTTTTTTAGTTCAAATTCTTCAAATAAGGATGTATTGTTATGGCACTCTAGGATAGGCCATCCCAGTTTTAATTATATGAAACACTTATTTCTAGCTTTATTGAATAAAAGTTCAGCTCCTTTTCATTGTGAAACTTGCCAACTTGCAAAACAAACACGAACTTCCTGCCCCAAACAATCCTATAAATCAACTGCACCCTTTACTTTAACACATAGTGATATTTGGGGACCCACAAGAGTTAAATCAACCTCTAACACTAAGTGGTTTGTGACTTTTATTGATGATCACACCCGAGTAACCTGGGTATACCTAATGAAAGAAAAATCAAAATTTTTTAGCATTTTCAAAAGTTTCCACACATTTGTGAAAACTCAATTCCAAGGGACAACCAAGATTTTAAGAAGTGACAATGCAAGAGAATATCTCAACACAACCTTGAAAGAATTCCTTAACCAGCAAGGAATCCACCATCAGACCTCATGTACATACACCCCACAACAGAATGGGTTAGCTGAACGAAAGAACCAACATCTCCTAAAAGTCACCCGAGCTATGATGATTGCCAAGAATGTTCCAAACCTCTTCTGGGAAGAAGCTATTCTCACATCAACCTACCTTACTCCCATCCAAAAACTTCTTGAAACTTACCCAAATTCACTCCTAGTGTCAGACATTCCCTTGAAAGTATTTGGATGTGTAGTATATATACATCGAGATGCTAGCAACAAACTTGAATCAAGAGCTCTACAATGTATCTTTCTTGGGTACTCCCCTACCCAAAAGGGTTATAAGTGTTATTGCCCTACAACAAGGAGAGTTTATGTCACTAAGGATGCTGTTTTTCAAAAGATGCCTACTATCCCAAGTTGCCCATTCAGGGGGAGAATTATGACACGGAAGAATGGCTAACCTTGGGTGCCCCTGCTCAAACAAACCTAGACAGCCCTAAACCAACCCAGGCCATACACAAACCTAAACCAAACCAGGCCATAGCCGAACCTGAAAACCTAAATCTACAAGCTTCTGAAAACCTAAATTTCCCTACTCAACCCGAACCTGAAAGTCCAAACCCACAAGCTTCCTCGACTGAACAAAATCACAACGATATGGAAAATAGTGTTGAGACAGGGATGGACCAGGGGTATAGTACCGAATCAGATTCAGAAAAGCAGCAAAATAATAGAGTCCCTCACATTCCAAGGCACAACCAAGTCTCCAATGCAATGTTAGATCCTGAGGAACTTGGGTGGCCAATTGCTCTTAGGAAAGGGGTAAGATCCTGTACTCAGCATCCAATCAGTAAATTTGTTTCCTATAATAAATTATCTCCTCGAATGCAGACTTTCGTAGCAAACTTGTCCAATGAGAGAGTACCCAAGACATTTCAAGAGGCTATTGGTAACTTTAATTGGAAACAGGCTATCAATGAAGAGTTGGAAGCATTAAAACAGAATGAAACGTGGAAAATCATTGATCTACCCCCAGGAAAGAAGATCATGGGATGTCGGTGCGTTTTCACGTTTTCACAATCAAGTACAATCCAGACAGAAGCATAAACAAATATAAAGCGAGAATTGTGGCCCAAGGATATACACAAACATATGGGGTTGACTATCAAGAAACCTTTGCTCTGATGGCAAAGCTCAACACCATTAAGGTCCTTTTATCAGTGGCAGCGAATCTAGATTGGCCCCTCTATCAGTTAGACATGAAACATGCCTTTCTAAATAGGGAACTTAAAGAAGAAGTGTATATGAAGATACCAGCTAGCCTACATAATTCAACAAATAGCTCAAAGGTTTGTAAACTCCAGAAATCATTATATGTGTTGAAACAATCCCCTAGAGCTTGGTTTGGGAGATTCTCAACAACTATAAAAGGAATGGGATACTCACAAGGGCAATCAGACCATACACTTTTCATAAAGCATACTGATGATCAAATCACCATCCTAATAGTGTACGTAGACGATATTGTGATTACAGGAAATGACAAGTGCCGTGAGAGAGCTAAAGAAATCACTGGCAGCTAAGTTCGAGATGAAAGATCTGGGACAGATGAGGTATTTTCTCGGGATGGAGATTGGTAGAACCAAACAGGGAATAAACCTTTCCCAAAGAAAGTACACACTAGATTTATTGCAGAAAACAAGAATGCTTGGAGCCAAACCTACAGAAACTCCCATGGAGACAGACTGCAATTTAGAATACAAAAAAAATGGTATACCGGTTGACATTGGAAGATACCAACAGTTGGTAGGAAAGCTCATTTATCTGGCTCATACACAGCCAGAGGGAGTTGTAAGCCAGTTCATGAATCAACCGCAAGAATAGCATATGGAATCAATGTATAGAATTCTGAAATATTTGAAGATGAATCCAAGGAAAGGATTATTCTTCAAGAAAGGAGAGTCTAGAGGAATAGAAATTTACACAGATGCTGATCATGGGCAGTCCTTGCTAGATAGGAGGTCTACTACTGGATATATCACTTATTTAAGGGGAAATCTGGTTACCTGGAGAAGCAAGAAGCAACGAGTAGTTTCCAGAAGTAGTGCTGAGGCAGAACTAAGGGCATTGGCTCTTGGGGTCTGTGAAGGGATTTGGATAATTTGAGTTCCAAAGGAACTGAGACTGATACATATTGGACCAATAAAACTTTGGTGTGACAGTAAATCAGCTATAGAAATGGCCCTAAATCCTGTGCACCATGACAGAACAAAACATGTTGAAATTGACAGACACTTCATAAGAGAAAAAATTGAAGGAGGTATAATTGACTTATCTCACATTCGAACCAAAAATCAAATGGCAGATTTGTTCACTAAGCCATTACCCAGAGACTCGTTCGAAGGACTGAGGAGCAAGTTGGGAATGATTGACACCTACTCGCCAGCTTGAGGGGGAGTGTTGGAAGACAAAGCCTAGGCAAGCTGTGTTTTATTTATTTCAGTCTGTTTTATTTATTTCAGCCTTTGTATTTTTTAGTTTATTAATCTGATTAGGATTACTAGCCTGATTAGGATAGATCCTTTTTGGTTTTATCGTTTATCCTAGATTTACGCTAGATTATCTAAGCTGGTTATATATTGTCCCTCATTACTTCAGAAATATTGAAAAAAGCAGATTCATTCTCGCCCAATTTACTCAGCTTCTTCTTCAAGGGAAAAATAAAATACAATGTTATATAGCTAACTATCCTCTTCTTAACAATCCAAGGCAGTGCCAAATTATCAATTGAATAAGATAAGCTCAATGTGATAACAACTAATTCAATACAGGCCACACTCAACCTCTTTCTACAAGTTCTGCTAATTCAATTTTTTCTTGGCATCAGCCACACTAATCTCAAACGCCAACATAAGCCACACATATACTTCACCAGCTTCAAGTTCAAAGTATTTCTGCTTCTCATCCCGGTCAAATAATTTAAGCATCTTCTTTGCTCAAAGATATTTTTGACCAACAGTACTTTCTAATGCAGATTCTTGCCATCCCATATATCAAGTCTTATCTTGTGCTTCTGTTTTTGAACTATTTGGTGTGTAATTGCACATCTCACCTATAAACATAGAAGATTGAATCCAAGAGGTAATGCTTGCATTCATAATCAAGGCCTAAGGCTTATCCTTAACGAAAAAAACTATTCTATGTCTGGCCTTGCCAATTATCATATAGTTCAGATATCTTAGTTTAGCTCAAAGCAGAGGTAACCCCAGCCACTTTGATTAAAACTAAAATGATCTAGTACAGTTCAGAGAATCTTATGACTATTCAAGAAACTCTTCTGCAATCTACCAGAAACTGCAAACTCTTAATGAAACTTTTAGACGAGAAGGAACAAAATTCAAATGAAATTGAATTCGATTAAATTCAAAACGTATCAGCAATATGGCCCACCCAAGCTTTCCATTATTCATCATTTTTGTATCAACACCCCTTATTTAAAACTACAAGCTATCACATAATATTATGTCCAGCCTATTAACAAGAGAGAAAACGACACAGAATATGAAAGAGTTACATCCTTTTGAAGATAAGTATGATAATGATAGACACCAAGGTAGTATGAATTTCTGGATTTGGATCCCCTACAATGCCATCCCCCCTCAATTGCTTAGTTCTGTATATAGAGAGAGATAAATTTGTTATGAATAAAAATAGAAGTATGAAAATAACATAAATATTCTAACTGATTACACTACACTTGATCAATTGACGGATATAGGCATTGCAAGGGATCCAGTTCCTAGATTTCCAAGCCCTACACTGAGTAGCATGTACAGTTCACTTCAGTGGTTCTCACAATTCAATACCTAGCTTACAAGAGACCATTCTTATGTTTCTTTAATGCCTAACAAATAACATAAGAATAAAAATGTCACTGCCATATTTACAAAAGGATTCAACAGAAGAAAGAGAAAGGTTAGACAGACTTCAATTCTGCTAATGCAAATAAGTAAATACATATGCACATGAAAATCAGCCAAAAGCACAAACGTTCCTTCTTTAACTGTACAAAACTTCAGTTTTAGAAAAACTTTAGCATAACATAAAGCTAAATATAAGCTGAATTCCATGAAAAGGGTAGACATGTACTCATATATACCATCTTCACATTGTTGTGGCAGTCAAACAAAGGCCTGCGAGCAATTAAATGGTAAGCAACGCAACCAAAACTGAAAATATCAGAAGCCCACCCAGCTGATGACACAGTGCTTTTAACCAGCTCAGGAGCGGTGTAATTAAGTGATGGCTGTAGTGGAAGAATAGAGTCCTCGACATCATATTCCTGGGCAGCAGTCATAAGAAATAAGATGCTATTTCAAATGATAAGAGCAAGATTAAACAGAATCATTGATAAAGATGTGCATAGAATTATCAAAAAAATAGTCCTTGTCAGAACAAAGCTGACTCAACAATTCTTGCAAAGATGAATGATCATGCATAACAGGTACAAAATGCCGAGACTTGGTGGAGACCGAAGAAAGAAAAGTAGAAAAGAGAGCAAGAGAGATAGAGTGAAAAAGAAAGTGGAAGAGAAGGCTGACAGCAAATAAATCTATATAGCAATTCAATAATGAGGTCTGCAAAGAAATAACCATAAGGCTATTTATAGAGCCCTATGAATAGAAGAACAATATCGAGATGAGAGAGTAAGAATACAGTGGGAACTGTAGTAGCTATTAGGAAGGTGTTTGGGCGGAAACCAAACTACGGTTTTAAAATTGATTTTATGATGTATCTAAGAGGAGTTTTATTACGAATTGCATGAAAGCATTTTTTGACTGAACCAGACACCCCCTTAATCTACATAAGCTTCTTATTTATAATGAGAACAGAAAGACAGTATATTGATGACTAATAATTACAGAATAATCTCCCCAACTATTTACGATATAATGAAGTACTAATTATTTACAATCAATCATTAAAAAGGTGGATGAGTGGAAGAAAATATGTTGAAGATGATGAAATGAACATGAATTGCTCCTATAAATCTCATTGGTGAATTATATTATATATAACTAAATATTATCGAAGTTATATAGAGATGACCTTAATAATCATGCCAACAACCCACGGAAGCAAAACCAAATGGTTTATCCCATGATCAACAACAGAACTACAGGGTACCCTATGCAACAAAGAAGTCAACAATAATTATATAAAATGTTTCACGCACAGCATAATGGAAAGCTTGCAGATTAGTCGAGTCACCAGAGGCCTGAGCTGCTGAAACTGCAAAACCAAATCCGCCAAGTTTCCAAGCTCCACTTGAAGTGATAAGAATATTCTGTGAAAAAAAAAATATATAAATTTACATTTGATAAACTCATCAATTTCATCATAGAGCACAAAAGATCAAGTATTCAAGTGAGGATCCATGTCACTTAAGCAAGGATACCACAGACATGAACAGGTTGTAGTCAAAGGAGAAAGGCGCACTTGTGGAACAAGACCTCTAAAGCACCCATATTGCAAAATATTATTTATTTAGTTTACTAATATTTTGTAAGCAGGCCAAAAATGACACAAGACAACACATTATAGATGGATAGAAAGAAAGCGAGTGCCTGGGAAGAAGATCGCCTGCCGCCTAAAGCCTCTAAATCAAGATTCAACCTCTCTGACCGTCATGGATCCGAATCTGATAGTCCAGATGGCTAAATTAACAATCTCTAAGTCTATTTCTCTATTTATTACATCAATATTACTGGACTTGACTGCAGTTTAACTGCTTTTATTGGTATATAATTTCACTTACATGGCTACCACATATTTTGGGTTCCAACATTAACTGCTTAACTTTATATTTGATAAACGACTTGATGATTTTGAGTTCACCTGAAAAAACAATGGGTTATTATGTTTGAAAAGCCATACTACTAAAATGGTTTCTGTTATTATAAGCTGACATTAATTTTTTTATTTTACTTTCTATAGCATATTTTTAGAATTCTTTCCTATTTTAGCGTCTTGCTTCGCTCAAGCATATGATCTCTTTTGTCTACGAATACTTTTGCACTTATGTAACATAATAAATATAACCCAGATGCTCCAGATTTAACAAAATAGATGTTTTCCACGTTCAAAAAGAGATAATACAGATTTGTTTCTATGATTTAATGAATAATTTCACCGAGAGAGGAATGAAGAATCAATGAGCAAGAAGTTCAGGTGAAAAGACATTTGCAAGTATCAATCTCTTTAAGCATTGGTTGTCATATTCCATAATAATCTTGATGAAAAATGTTGGAAATGGGCCTGCCGCCACTCTTGGGCCCTCTCATGACTTAGCATACTTTTAAATCTATAATCTGTAGTATCTTATCTATATTTATATCTCTGTTATCATTGTCCGAGACTGTAGGAGCCTTTTAAGGGATTAGAATCAGATTTTATTCTCCTTTTCCCTATATATGTAACCCTCACGTATAAATAAAGTTTCGGAGCTGTTTTCCCATATTTAATTTTATGGTATAAGAGCCAAGGTAACTCTGCCTATATTGTATAGCCGGTCACAAGCCCGGATAAAGGAGGAGGGTTGTGTTAGGCCCTTGACAGCCAACATAAAAACCCATCGAATCTCATGAACATGGATCAACAAAGTAATTGTGCTAATGCTAGGTTGTTGTCTAGAAGTAACGGGCTGTATGGCTTGAGTACAGTGAGAAGTGAGCTAAAACTGCTGCATTGTCGCCCAGATGTAGTGTTAAATGAGCAAGGACTACCGCACTCTCTTGGACGGAGGCGGCTAAAAAAGTTAGTTCATGAGACCAAGATTAGATTTGGCACTTGGAATATTGGAACGCTGAATGAGAAATTTATGTAGGTAGTAGGAGTTATGAGGGACAGAAGGATTAATATCTTGTGCCTCTAAAAAACCAAATGGACTGGAGAAATTGCCAAGGAACTTGGAGAGTATAAACTTTAGTACACAGGAAAGGTGAGTGCAAGGAATGGTGTTGGTATCATCGTTGGTGGAATATGGAAAAAAAATGTGGTAGAGGTTAAAAGGTTTGAGGACAGAATCATATCTTTAAGAGTAATTGCTGGAAAAGATACTATCAATATCATTAGTGGCTATGCGTCTCAGATAGAGGCAAAGGCACACCTTAAAGATAAGTTCTAGGAAGATATGGAAGGGTTGGCTCAAAGCATATCACTCGAAAGAAAAAAAATTTATCGATGGGGATCTTAATGGACATGTCAGTAAGGAAGCAGAACAATTCGGCAAGGAAGCAGAACAATTCGACGAGGCTCATGGTGGTTTTGGTTTTGAGGAGCTTAATAATGGAGGACAATCTATTCTTAACTTTGCTCTTGCATATAATCTTAAGATTGTCAAAACTTGTTTTAAGAAGCGAGATGAGCATTTAATCACGTACAAGAGTGGTACCTTAAAATCACATATTGATTTCTTTTTGGTTAAGAATGCGGACATAAGATTGTGTACTAATTGTAAAGTGATTCCTGGAGATGGGATGACTGCCCAACATAAAGTACTTATCCTTGATGCGCATTTTAAGAGTACCAGGCAAAAGTACCATCAAGTGGTAAAACCCAAGATTAAGTGGTGGCCGTTAAAGGGTGAAAAGCAAGAGTTATTCAAAAGGCCTCTTTTGGAGGAAGGAATTTGGGAGTAGGAAATGCAAACATGATGTGGGAAGAGATAGTTACAAGGATTTGTATGGTAATTAAAGCAATTTTGGGAGAATCCAAAGGTTCTAATCAAAGAGACAAGGAGACTTGGTGGGATAAGAATGTGCGAGAGAAAGTCAGACAGAAAAAAGATTGTTTTAAGGTTATACATTTGTGCAATAGTGTAGAGAACCAGGAAAAGTATCAGTTGGCTAAAAAAGAGACTAAGTGAGCAATGAGCAAAGCACGTACTAAAGCTTATGAGGGGTTTTATCAGGAGTTAGGAACAAAGACGGGAGAAAGAAATATTTACAAGATTGCAAAGCAAAAGGAGAGGAAAAAGAGAGATTTGACCAAGTAAAGTGTATAAAGAATGAAGATGGTTAAGTGCTAGATATTAATGGTGATATTAAGGACAAATAGAAGGCTTACTTTTACAAGTTGTTTAATGAGAGAAGCAATTATGCAACACAGGACTTACATGACTTGCTAATTAACGAAGATGATTGGAATTTGGCTATTTACTGCAGGATCCACATCAGAGAGGTTAGGACAGCTCTCAAGAAAATAGACAATAGTAAAACCGTTGGGCTTGATGGTATCCCTATTAAAATTTGGAAATGTTTGAGAGATGAGGGTGAAGCGTGGATAACTAAGCTTTTTAATGAAATTTTACGCTCTAAGAATATGCAGGATGATTGGAGGAGAAGCATTTTAGTTCCTATTTACAAGAATAAAGAAGACATTCAAAACTGTGCAAACTATAGAGGGATAAAACTTATGAGTTATATAATAAAGCTGTGCGAAAAAATGATGGAATATAGATTGAGGTTGGAGACTTCTATTTTGGAAAACCAATTTAGATTTATGGCAAGGAGGTCCACAACAGAAGCAATCTATTTACTAAAAAGGTTGCTAAAAAGATATAGGAGTAAAAGAAGAGATTTACACATGGTTTTAATAGACCTAGAAAAGGCTTATGATTGTGTGCCGAGAGAAGTAATATGGAAAGCTTTGGAAAAGAAAAGTGTACAGGTTGCTTATATCAAAGCCATACAAGATATGTATGAGGAAGTAACTACTAGTGTAAGAACGCCTAAAGGTGAGACAAAAAACTTCCCTAGTAAGATTGGCCTACATCAGGGATCTTCTTTGAGTCCATACTTGTTTAATATTGTTCTGGATGTTCTAACCAAAATTATTTAAGAAAAAATCCCTATGTCCATGCTCTTCGCAGATAACATAGTTCTCATGGCAAAATCAAAAGAAGAGATTAACACTAGATTGGAGTTATGGAGAACGACTTTGGAGTCAAAAGGTGTCCGCTTGAATAGGAACAAAACAGAATATATACATTGTAATTTTGGAGGGAGGCAAGACAATAGGGATTTGGAAGTGAAGATTGGAGACCAAATTATTCTCAAGTATCAGAATTTAAATACCTAGTATCCATTATACATGACGATGGAAAAATTGATGGAGACGTTTCTCATAGAATACAAGCTGGATGGTTAAAGTGGAGGAAGGCTACCTAAGTTTTTTATGATAAGAAGGTACCTAAGAAGCTTAAGGGAAAACTTCATCAGACTGCTATAAGACCAACTATGTTGTAGGGTAATGAATGTTGGGCAATAAAGGGAAAACAAGAGCACAAAGTTGAGGTAGCAAAAATGAGTATGTTGAGATGAATATGTGATCATACAAGAAAAGATAAAATTTGAAATGAAAATATCAGAACAAGAGTTGGTGTGGCACCTATACAAGAAAAAATGATTGAAAATTGCTTAAGATGGTTTGAACATGTACAGAGAAGGCCATTGGAGGCCCCGGTGAGGACGGTAGATTAGACAATATGGAGTCCCATAAAAAAAAGCCAAGGAAGACCAAGAAGAACATTTAATGAGGTCATTAAACGAGACCTCCTAATCAACAAGATATCTAAGGACTGGATTGTTGACAGAACACGATAACGTCATTTGATTCATGTAGCTAACTCCACCTAGTGGGATAAGGCTTATTGTTGTTGTTGTTATATAAGAGCCAAGGTCTTCAGCCCTAGTATGCCATTCCAGGCAGCTCTAACCAACCAACAACCACGAGCCTTCGATGTTGATGATGGAGATCGTCATTCATCATCAACCAGTAAGGGTTCACAAGGGTCTTGTTCGCACGGAGGAAGCCATGCAGTAAAACCATCGTTGCTACATGTGGTGTGCAATGTCACACCAGATTCTTTCTCCCAGGTTATGATCACACATTGCTTCAATGGTAACAACAACCTTCAGTAGTCCCAAAATGTTCTTATGTTTGTGAGGGAAAAGAACAAGGAGAAGTACCTCATCGATACTCCACCTAGCTCTACCAATGATCAATTTGAAGCTTGCAGTGCTAAAAAGAATATGGTAATGGCGTGGCTCGTGAATTCTGACCCTGGAAATAAGTAAGAACTATCTACTCGCAACTACTGCTAAGGAGATCTGGGAGTCAGTAAAAAAAACCTACTCGGTGAGGGAGAACATAACTGCCATCTTCCAGCTAAAGCGTCTTCTCCGTGGTCTAGTCCAAGGTGAACAATATATGATGCAGTTCTATAGTGCACTGGTGAGGCTTTAGTAGCAAATAGACCTCTATGAAGTCTGTGAATGGACGTGCCATAAGGATGAGTTATACTACAAACAACTCATTGATTGAGAGAGATGTTATGAGTTCTTGCTTGGGCTCAATGATTCCTATGAGGATATTGGAGGCCGAACAATGAGTATGAAGCCTCTTCCCTCATTAGAAGACACATTCAATATGATATGATGTGAAGAGAGTAGAAAGACATTGACTTAAAGACCACCTGTGTCATCACCAGCTCTAAATAAGGGATCCACACTTGCCATTCGCAGTTATCAAGGCGATTCAAAGAGCAAGAAGGCTGCAAAATGGTATGATCACTACAGTAAAAGTGGCCACGCTAGGAAGAATTGTTGGAAGCTCCACAGCAAGCCCTCAAAACAGAAAAATAAACCAGAAGGAAAAGGTTTTCTGGTTGGTATAGACTGTGGGAGTGCATCTTTAAGTAGTGGAGAACTCCTAATACTAAGGAAAATTCTAGATAAGCACGCTGCATCTGCAAAAATATGTGAGGAAAACTCTCCTTCTGTTACCTTAGCACAAACAGGTACTGCACTAACTCATGCTCTTAGCAGTAAAGTTAAACCCAGCACTACTTAGATTGTGAATTCAGGGGCCACTCATCATGTTACAGGGTTTAAGGGTTTAAGGAGTTATTTTCTGAATTTACTACTGTTTCTGAGCATGAAACTGTTGAGGTAGCTAATGGACAACATGCAAAAGTAATGGGTTCTGGCACTGTTCACATCTTAGAAAACATTGTCCTAAGAAATGTTCTATATGTTCCAAACTTCCATTGTTGTTTGATATCTGTGAGATGCATAGCTTCTCAATTAAATTGTCCAATTATTTTTGACAAAAATGGTTGTGATTTTCAAGATTTGACATTCGGAAAAAAGATTGGGAATGTAAAGGTACGGGATGGGCTCTACTGCATTCAAGGAGCATCATCAAATAAAACTCATGCCGTTTTTTCTACCATGTCTTGTGAAGATTTTACATTGTGGCACTCTAGGTTAGGCCACCCTAATCCTAAATATATGCAATTCTTGTTTCCTAGTATTGATAATAAAACAATTTCTAAGTTTCATTATGACATGTGTCATTTTGCCAAGCAAATTCACATTTCTTATCCTTCTCATCCTTGCACGCCAACCCATCCCTTTCACTTATACATAGTGATGTATGGGTCCATCCAAAAAAAAAATTCTAAAGCAAGATAGTTTGTAACTTTTATTGACGATCACACTCGACTCACTTGGGCTTTCTTGATGAGGGAAAAAACTGAAGCGATCACAATCCTTAAAAACTATCATGCCTTTGCTCAAAATCAACTCCAAACCTCAATAAAAATTCTTCGAAGTGACAATGGCAAAGAATATTTGAACTCCTCTTTTAAGAAATTTCTAGAAGAAAAGTGTGTACAGCATTAAACTTCTTGTGCTCGAACACCACAACAAAATGGGGTTCTTGAAAGAAAAAATAGACATCTCTTAAAAATAGCCCAAAATATCATGATAGGCAGCAATGTTCCTGATAATTTTTGGGGGGCCGCCATTCTTACCTCTACCTACCTAATAAACCGCATGCCTTCCAAGACTTTACAATATCATACCCTTGTCTAGAAATTGAAAGAGACATATCCCCATTCTCCTCTCCATAATTCTCTCCCACAAAGGGTCTCTAGGTGTACAACTTTTGTATTCAATGAAGGAGGGGGAATGCTAGACTCTAGGGCCATCAAGTGCATCTTTCTAGGCTATTCCTCACAGCAGAAAGGGTACAAATGCTACTGCCCTATCACACACAATTGTACATTACCATGAATGCTAAGTTCGTCGAGAAACAACCCTGCTATCCCAAGCCAACTATCCCAAGCCACCCATTCAGGGGGAGAGAATGACAAATGAATAGCTTGTATGTGATGTGTTTCTCAAACTGCATAGCAATCAAATAGACACCAAACGTCACTAGGTATACCCATTCTCCTTCAATTCCTCTCCCCACCACTAATCCTGACCAATCCAGTCTAGAAATTAGTCCAACAGAACCACCAAACACTGCAAAATCCTTGCCTGCACCTGTGTTTCAGGATGCTAACCCTTTTGAACCTCTTTCTAACCTACCTAAGTCCTGGACAGAGGCAAAACTGAGTTGTGATGAAGAAAGCCCTACTTCCACACCAACACAAACTCAAGATTCAATACCTGAAGCAGATCTTGAGGATCTACACTAACCCATTGCACTTCAAAAAGGAAAAAGAACCTATACTCAACATCCTATTGCTAGGTATGTTTCTTATGAGAAATTGTCTCCTAATATGAAGGCATTTGTGGCGAATGTAGAAAAAGAAACTATTCCTAAAAGCTCCAAGGAAGCTATTGATGGTCCTAGATGGAAACATGCCATTGAAGAGGAATTAAGGGCACTACATAAAAATAGAACATGGAAAATTGTTGATTTGCCAAAGGGAAAAACTGTTGAGCAGTAAATGGTTTTTTACTATCAAGTATAAGCTTGATGGGAGTGTGAATAAGTATAAAGCAAGACTAGTTGCCTGGGGCTTCACTCAAACCAATGGTATTGACTACCAAGAGACATTTGCCCCAGTTGCCAAACTAAACACTATAAAGGTACTCTTGTCACTTACTGCAAATCTAGATTGGCCCTATACCAACTAGATGTTAAGAATGCCTTTTTAAATGGTGATCTAGAGGAGGAAGCGTATATGGAAGTGTTCTTAGGAATGAAAAATGCTGAAAATTCTTATAAAGTTTGTAGATTGTACAAATCCTTATATGTGTTGAAGCAGTCACCCAAGACTTGGTTTGAGACTTACTCGGGGAATCAAGACTTGGGGCTACCATCAATGCCAATATGACCACACATTATTTGTTAAACATTATGGAGACAAAATTATAATTCATATTGTATAGGTTGATGACATAGTGTCGATAGGAAATGATGCAAACGAGATCATAAGGCTAAAGAGAAAATTAACAACAGAATTTGAAATTAAAGACCTTGGATCACTATGATATTTCTTCAGCATGGATGTAGCATGAACAAAAAAGGGGATTACTGTGTTGCAACGAAAGTACACCATAGACTTACCAAAAGAGACAAGGTATGTTGGGGGCAAAACCAACTGATACTCCAATAGAACTCAACCAAAAACTGACCATTAGACCTGATGGCACAGTTGTAAATAAAAAAAGGTACTAAAAAATGGTGAGAAAATTGATTTATTTGTCACACACTAGACCTGATATATGTTACCCAGTCAGTGTGGTAAGCCAGTTCTCAAGCAACCCCCAAAAGGAGCATATGACAGTAGTCTACAGAATTCTCAAATACCTAGAAAAAACACCAGGTCAAAGCCTGTTCTTTGCAAAGGGCAACGCTAGAAGTATTGAGTTATTCACAGACGCTGATTGAGGAGGTTCTAAGGCGGACAGGCAGTCTACTACTAGTTCTTGCTCCTATATATGGGGAAATCTTGTAACTTGGAGAAGCAAAAAGCAATCAATAGTTTCTCAGAGTTCTGTTAAATCCGAATATAGGGCTTTGGCTCTAGGAATTTGTTAAGGTATGTGGATAATCAGACTATTAAGGGAGCTCAAGATCGGAAACATTGGACCAATAAAGGTATGGCACAATAACATTTCTGTAATCAAGATTGCCAACAATACAATACACCATGATCACACCAAACATGTGGAAATAGATAGCCACTTCATCAAAGAAAAGTTGGAGACAAAAATAATTGACCTCTTATACATTCCCTCAGGAAAACCGATTGTAGATGTCATGATCAAGTCCCTTACTCAAGAAAAATTCGAGGGCTTCATAGACAAGCTAGGAATGATCAACATCTATTCACCAACTTAAGAGGGAGTGATGGAAATAGGCCTGCCGCCTAGGCCTTCTCATGATTTAACCTAGTTTTAAATCTATAATCTGCAGTATCTTATCTGTATTTATTATTTTTTGAATCTCTATTATTATTGTCCGAGATTGTAGCAGCCTTTTAAGGGATTAGAATCAGATTCTATTCTCTCCTTTTCCCTATATATGTAACCCTGACGTATCAATTAAGTTTCAGAGCTGTTTTCCCATATTTTATTTCAAAAAAGATAAATTCTGGTTGCTGCTTTGATCACAATAAGCCATGAATGAGCAGCAGCTCCTAAAATAGAAATCAATGTTATCAACACAACAGATGTAAAAGGAAAACTCCAAAATAACCAATTGCAATATATCATTTCTAGTTTGATCCACTAGCTGGTACTATTACTTTGGAACAGAACAAAAAACTAAGGCAAAACGATCTACACCAAATTAGTGAAAAAAGATTCATCAATAAAGGAAAAAAAATGTTACCTCAGGTGATATCGCGCGATGAATAAGATGGGCATGGTTGTGCAAGAAGTCCAGTGATTCTGCTACCTGAAGTAAGCCATGCTTCACTTCCAACAGTCCCATGTCCTGCAAATAAATCATGTTCAGTAGCAAAGAGATCTCCATAGAATTGTGATTGTGAATGCAGTAATTATAATGGTAAGTATAGAAAACAACGCATGAATGCATTAGAAATTTTAAGATATCCACAACTCCGCATTAAAATAGAAGTTAAGGGCACTAATAGATCAACCATGGGCCTTCACTTAACAGCTTAAACTTTTGGATAGAGCGGCCCTTGATATGTCATCAAAAGATTTTATGGGCAAGCAGTTAACATTGTTGCCCACATTATCTTGATTAAAACTGAGTCGCAAGCTTTCAGGATAAAGTATACAGAGCCTATGCTTAGACCACTTTTGCAGCCCGAAAGGCTTTTGAGGAGAAATGGATTTAATATTAATAATTATAACCTAAAATTTGACTTTTCCCCTTGCTAGCAGATTTTTTTGACAAGTTTTGCGCAACCCCATGATCAGTTAAAGTGGAAGCAAAATAAGTGGGGACCACAAACACAGACACACCGAAAGGTGGCGGGCATAAATTTAAATCTGGGAATCAAACTAGTTTGATGGGCATCGCTGTAGATTTCAGCTGGTTTAGAAAGAAGAAAGAAACAACTTGAAGAAAAATGATGCCATAATTAGCCTGCTATTAACCAGCTACCATAAAATATGCATTAATTGAAACTTTAGAACAATTGAACATGAAATCGGACCACAAAATTCAAAATCAAGCCCAAAAGTCGGTCATTTAAGATAGCACTACCTTTAGTTGAAAACCCATACATGTTATTTCAACCTAAAGAGTATTAAGAAAACGGAATATTGGAGCAAAGGATGATAAACGATAAGCCCGAGCATAGAAGAATAATTCAGCCTATATTAAAATCAAGTGTTCGATCTGGCGAGCAGCCAATGGTACTGCGTTTTGCAAACATCAAATATAAAACACCATATCATGCACGGACATATTGTAATCCCAACCACCAAAGCATTCAGTCATTAGATCACACAAAACAATCAAAAGCTCAGACATGCGCTAACTGATGCTACTTACCATTCCCCTGAGCTCCTTAGGAACATTCGCAACATTCTCCAGGTTCCCAAGAGTATTAGCCACCGATGCAAACAAGGGTTCAGTCACCATCGCCATAGCATTCTTGCTCTCATCCAACGCTTGCACTACATGCACTACCCCGGGATGCCTCAATCGCACCAGTTTACCCGCATCGGCCCGAATCAAATCCAAAAACGAATCTTCAGCTGCCTTGGTCAGCCCAGCACGCATTCGCGCCTCCGACAGCACCCGCTTGTCCAGGATCCAAACACAAACAAGGGGGTACTGTTGCTGCCGCGATGGTTCCCTGGGCCTAGCCGAGTAAAGCCTCCATGCGAGACCAGGCCCAGCGGACGCGATCTGATCAAGAAGGTCGTAGTCCTGGAGAGCCTTGGGTCCGGTGACCTCCTGCACGGTGGTCTGAACCTTCTTCTCGATGACCGCCGCGGTCTTAGCCAAGGCTTGCGTTAGGGTTTTCATGTTCAGAGACATCTTTGAGGATTGACCACAGAGTGAAGGATTCTGAAGTAGAAGAAGAAGAAGGAGAGGAAGGAGAAGGAGGAGGAGAAGACCGGCGATTTGGAATTGTGAGAGATCAGACAGAGCATGACATCTTACCCTTTCTCTCTCCGTCCGCTCTTTCTCTCTCTCCTTCTCCGTGTTTCAGGTCTATTAGCCTATGCTTCATGGGAGGCGGCTTCGGTCGTCGGTTGTATTGTTTCTTTGGCAGTTTCCTAATTAAAGTGTGCAACTAAAGTGTCATTTTTTCCGCAACCAGGCAAATTAAATCTTGAAATTACATTATTTAAAACATTAAAAATTATTATCCAGAAATATTGTATATATTTTAGTTGCTAGTGAAACTTGTTATCAAGGAACAAAAAACCGGATCGGACATTAAACCGGTCAAGACAATAAGTCAAGGATTACTGGTCAAACCGGGGTCGGACCGGTCATATTAAAATAATATAATTTAATTCACAATATTAAAATAAAACAAAATTTATAAATAATAATCACTAAAAAAAAATATGAGAAGCCACAAAAGTAGTTTAAATGTTTAACAGTACCAAGAAAACACATTTTTAATCCTCCACATTAATTCAAACTATGCTTCTTGTAGGTTCTAAAATAGCTTTCAGATTTACTTCCATATTAAAACTTCCAGACTTTCAATTCCGTTAGCACTCAACCTCCTACACATGCATACATTCTCCCATAGCCTTATAATCTTCTTATACAAACTTTAATCTATGCCAACATATCCTCTAATCATTTAAAATTCCTATCCATTGGTTAGTAACCTTAAGCACATTTCAACAATAAATTTAAATCGACTCCTCTACCTTTCATAATCTGGAAATTATTCCCAACTTTAAAACATCAATTCAAGCCTATCCTTTAAACTTAAAATCGTATATAACTTAAAAATTTAAATTATCTAAGACCCTCCTTTCAATTCATCAACTCCAAGCTTCTTCGATCCCTTCAAGAATGTAGATCTAATCAATTAATTTAATCGTTCAACATTCAAGACCTACAAGTTAAACTCAATATAATATATTAGTTCAGTTCTTCCCTCTTATCTCCATGAATTCGAGTCCCATGAACCAAACATATATATTCAAATATATATCTACGCATATATAAAACCCGAACGCTCCAAATGCTCATATACAACAAATATAGAAATTTTCTAGATTCAAAATACATTTTTAGAACCAGCCTCGCTAATCACAGAAGGCAAAATAAGCACCAATCAAGCTTATATATTTATTTATGTGTATCCTGTTTCTAAAACCAACCCACCCAACACCAATGCAACAGAAAGCCAAAATTACAGTTCCCAACTTCGGTTACTCTTGGCGAGCATGAGTATACCGTACTAAGAAAAATAAACAACATGCAATCCAACAAGCTCACTCTATAAACACAACCTGTAATCATCCTAAACCAGCAACTTATTCCCCTGTTCGGCCAGTAACAAAACAGAGCAAAGAATTTGAAACTCAAACTTGTAGAAATTTCAACCTCTGTTCGACCAACCCAAAACAGAAGTATCTAACATCATGCAATGACTGCGATTTTGGAGGTCAGACTTGCGGCGACTTGTGATGACTACCATTTTGGAGCTCAGACCCTTAGACTTGCGAGCTCAAACGGTTCAGGGAGACCGAAGATTAGACTTGCGATGAGGTTGAGGGAGACCGGAGATCAGACTTGTGATGACTGCAATTTTGGAGCTCTGCCGGAGACCGTCTTACCGTCAGTGACGCTAGGGAGCAGGTATTTTGGAGGAGGCGATTTTGGTTTTTGGGAGGGAGGCGATTTTGGTTTTTGGGAGGGAGACGAGCTGCTGTGCGAGCTAGAGGAACGAGGAGTCAGATACAGGGGAGGGAAATGGGGGAACTTCGACGGGAAAGGAAATCAAAAAAGGAAGAAGGAATTTTTTTTATTTTTAATTAAAATGAGGTCGTTTTGGGGTTCTGGCAGATAAAAAAAGGGAACCGGGTAACCTAGTTAACCGAGATTATCCGGTTCTATACCAATTATGACCGGTTCAACAGTTTTTTACTGGTTTGATTGGCCCCCGGTCTAGCTATTGAACCGGACTGGACTGCAGACTAGTTCACCGGTTTTCCAGTCGAACCGGCCGGTTCGGTCCAGTTTTTTTCCCCTTGCTTGTTATATCAGACATTCATGCTCATTACTTTCTTGACAGATAATTTAAATTTTTACTAGAGTAATATAATATAATTAGCACCCGTACTCAGCATATCAATATCGAAGTATAGTTGGAAATAAAATTATGATTAAACTCCTACACAGAATACAAATTCAAAATAATTAATAGAATTAAAGAGATAAATCATAATTCTGCTTTTAAGTAGGAGGCAATTTTTAAATTTAAATGTAAGATAATTAAGACTTAATTATATGCAAGATAATTAATATTAGTGTTATCTCAAATTTAATTGAAATTCTGCTTTTAAGTAGGAGGCAATTTTCTTTGGCCCTAAATTTGATAGAATTTTCAAAGTTGGAATCACATCAACTCAAAAAATAATATCAACTGCTATATCAAAAATCTACACCCATCTTAAAAAATGTGCCCACAAAAAAGTACAATTTGATTGTTGTAATTATTTATGAATCAAGAGTTTTCATTGTACAAATCAAAATCTTCAAAACAATGTTTATGCATCATTAGAACTTCATCTCATATTATTGATGTGACAACCTATAATTGCTAGAGACCCTTGTCTAATATTACATGTTGAATAAGCATATGCTAAATTGGTTGGAAACCCCAATTAGGGCAAGTATTAGACAACCTACTATATAAAAGGGGTTCAGCTTCATGTATTAGTTGGTTATTGTCTCGAATTTAATCTTTTATTAGTACTTTGAATTAGATGGTTATGGACCTTAGCCTATATATAAAAGGGGGTGGTGGATTTATATAGGTAAGATAATCACTCATGCAAAATGGAAGAGAAACTAATATAACAATTTTGGTGGATCTACCGAGTGCTAAAAAAAAAAAAAAACATGTTACATGTGCATACTAAGTAACGTTGATCTACTCAGTATTGCAAACAATGGATCTACCCTAGATGTATGTGGACTTGCACTAATGTTGAGGAGATGAAGAAGCTCATAGAGCAAATGTAGAACTGAAGAGAATGTGCCTCTATGTGTTGGTTTTATTCATGTCTCTTTCCTCCCTCTTTACAAACAAAAGGGGGGTAATTTTTCTTTGGCACATGATTTGGGATACATAGCTACCATCTGCCACAAACTTTCTCCACTTTCTGATCAAGCCATATGCATGTCCTTGTGTGGCTTGAGTTACGTCCATCATTCTCAAGGCTACAGGATAAGTATTTTATAAAACTAGATATATCTCTCATGCGTTACATAGGAAATGTTGTCCCAAGGAGTGTCAGTTGTGAAAATTGTATAAGATAATTCTACCTTTTTGTTTTGGATATATAAAAAAAACAAAATTCAATTAATAAGGGGTGGGGGATTGTAGGGAAAGTCATCTTATTGTGTGAAACAAAGTTGAGAGATACATGCTGGTGCCATGATTGACGAATATAATATTGTATTATGAAACGCAAATTTTATTGACATGGTGGAATTATGGTAAACATATTTTGACAACGTAATTGTTCTATCTATAAAGAATGTCCTTTTTTTTTAGAACAAAGATATGAAAAAAAATGTGCGTTGAAGTATCTACCTCTATGTTTTGCAAGTAGGAAAAATTAAATAAACATGTGATGGATTTTTTTATGACAACTTGACAATGGGCTTGTATATGTTTGTTTATTGAATATGGCTTGAATGACTATTCAAGTTTATTTGTTGAATAGAATGACGTACGGATTGTTGTATAATTTGAACCTCAAAAAATTCAAGAAGGGAGAGAAATATTTGAAATAGTATCAATGTCCTTCATGTATGATCATGAAGAATTTATGAAAAAATCTATAGCATCCTGAAATTTAATCATGAGCTTTAGAGTTAAATTAGCAACAACAAAAAAGTATTAAGTAGTTGAAATTGGAAGTTTAAGACTTAAAAATGCTAAGATTAATTATTCGAGGTCATATCTCTGTAACTTTTTGGACACTCCTGAAAATTGAGCATTATCAAGGGTTAAATGATCTTATTTTTTAGTAATTTTTTTTTTTACATTGAAAAATAGACATCTCAAGCTTTCTAAAGAATCATAGTTTGTAATTTTTGGAAATTTGAAAGTAGTTATGAATTTTTTAAGTCAACCTTTTTGTTTGTGTTTTTCGTTGCACATTCATAGTGTCACATAATTTCAAGTACCTTTTTTGTGTTTTTCGCTATATCAAACACATCAAAATCTAGTTTTATAAATTAGTCAACAAGTGCCAAAAAAAATTAGAAGGGAGATGGAAGGGGATTGACTAGGCTCTGTTAGGGCTTCATTATCCGACCTATTGTGGGTGTTTTTCAACTTCCTAACATTCAAGTAAGCTTCCTAGACTTAATTTCTACCATTTCCTCTTAGATTTTTCAAGGTTTAAATAGTTGAAAAGTAAGGTCTTGGATGATTTTGGAATAGATGATCTTCCTATTGAATCTTTTGCATTTAAATGACTTAAACAAGGATACAATAAGATGTTTAATTGGTTAAATTTTGTTAACATTCTAGTTTGGTGAAGACTAAGCCTAGAATTTGATGTTAGAATGGGGTTTATGATGGCTAATGGTAATGTAAATATTGAAAATGAGTTTTTAATGAGTATGTTATATTAATATGAGTTAGACTTGAGATTAATCAGTTTATATTGTTGTTTTAGCTTGATTTTATCAGATAGGTACTCTGAGGTAGAACTTGAAGTTGTAAAATCAAAGATTTTGATTAATTTGAGTAATTCGATGTTAATGATTAGTTTAGTTGAGTTGTTTAAGCCACTAGGAATCAATATTTTGTGTTAGCATGATTGTTGATGATTCTAGTTGAGAGTGAGTTTCTTAGTATGGCTTGGAATCTTTCCTTGTCACTAATTAACCACTTAATTATTTTTAAACTAATGGTACATATGTGCAATTGGGTTGATTGTTTGTGACTTTGGATTGAGCATGAGGTTTTTGCAATTTGCATATATTGTATGTATCAACTAGCATATACT